CAACACCAACACGAGGATATCAGATCAACCGGGGAGGGAAGGCCAATCCATGCCTGTTTTTACTGCCTGTCTTTAGTGCACTAGGAGTGTGTTTGGGATGATGGTCATGTGGAAAAATGAAGCTGTTATCAATCAGATACTTGGTTTTGCATGATGGATCAAAATTTGACTCGAGTTTTCTACATGCAGCCCCAAACCATGTCAGAGCCTCTGCTGTGTTTTACAGGATGCTCTAAAATACAATGGTACCTCTGTGGTACCTCTTATCTGACTTCCTTCTCTTTGTGAGTTGAAAAAAAAAAACATTCAAATTTGGATCATCACAAAGTCATCAACCTATAAGACCTGTTACCACTGATTTTTAGCATCAACAGATGCACTTCTCAGGCTGTGTGACCAGTAGGAGCAGATCTACTGTGGTGGCATGTGCCACCCTAAAGTAATCTCTAGCCATCCCTAGTGCCACCCTGGTTTTGCACATGACAGTGTTGTTTATTAAAGTAAGCTACCATATTGAGCTTAGCTGCAAATAACATTGAATAGAAATTCTATAACTGAATATATTACATAATGTTACCCCCACCCCCCATTAAAAATGGTTCAGCCAATAGCATTTGAAACTGCTTTATTTCTTGTTTACATATCTTTCTGTTGCACTCTTGAAATGCCATGGTGAGTGTTATACACTAATAAATCAAAAAAGAAAAGAAAAGCGCTATTTAAATGCGGTCCATTATTATTATTATTATTATTATTATTATAAAAATGGAGTTTGGAATTTTTGTGAAAAACAGGTACATTTGTTCATGACAGTGCAGATATTTGACATTTTGTGTACATTTGAGCATTTAACAATTTGAGTATTTCCAAAAAAAAAATACAAAATAAATAAAAAAGACAAAAGCTCCAAAATAGTGTGAAACGTAGACTTCTAGTTAGACTTGTATTTCTAACTGATCCACCTCATGTTGTGTAGCTTTCTTGATTTTATTCTTATTGGGCTACATGCTTATTTATTACATAGATTATACAGTACTCAAAATTCACCTTTTTATATAATCGAGTGTCTAATTATCTGGGCTGAAACCAATAAGAAAGTTACAGACTATATTTATATGAAGACTGGTTATACTTGCTCTATTTGATGTATTTTAACCATATATAGTACATATTACAGAAGTAACACCTGCATACGTGTGAAGAAATTGCTTTGATTTTGCCACCCCATCTGATTTCCATGCCAACCTAAGAAAATTTCTCTAGATCCGTCCAGTCTTTTTTCTTGTTTCTTAAGGTCATGAATTTCAGATACTGTTCATCTGCTACAGATAGTTTTAGGCCTGCCACTTTCTTTGACATTATTTGGAGATTGAACAAAAAGAAAAGTGACCAAATTGAGAATGTTTGTAACAAAGTTCCTAAAGATATAATTTAAAATTGGTTCTTTTTATGTGTAGAAACAACACTGGTTAGACTCAGGTGTGTTTTTTAAGTTTGAATGATTCAAATGTCAGTGATAAGTAGCTTAACAAACAAATCGGTTTCCTCTGAAAATTATCAGTGCAAAGATTGGATTGAAAGTCAGTGAAAAAGCAGCCAATGTTTAAAGAAGAACTCTGAAGGACCTTCAGAAAGCCTGCTCACAACCATTTTTAAAAATCACAAGAAAGTCTGGCTCCTTGGAAGCAAAATATAAAGAAATGAAGGGTTGCTCAAGAAGAGGTTTTTTTTTTGCACAGCACTGTAATTGTCGTAACACATGTTTTATGTTGATCCAGTGGTTCGATGACGATTGTTAGCATTAGGTCCTGTACAGCCACATTTGGACATTTAACATTTATTGGATGCCAATTTATTCCTGTGGAATTCTGTGGATTTCATGTACTCAATGCATGAAGGCTCTGTTACCCTTGGCTTAACTCTCTCATGATTAATTCATTATTATTAGTAGTATTAGTATTTTATTTAACAGGATAACACAGATTCAAATAACTAATCCATGCACGCCACCAGGTATTTTGGAATCATCAGATAACCTGACGGTCATGTCTTTGAACAGCTTTAAACCTAGAGTCTTCTTACTATGAGATGACAGACTGATGATTTGTTTTATTGGTTTACTTATGTAACTATCATAAGTACACTATCAGTTTCATAAGGTTACTTAGTGTTTTCTTTATTCTAATCCATGGTAAAGTGCTTTTACCAATTGCTTTTCCCCCCATTATCGTTTTTCTCATGAATGATATCCTCGGGTTTGTTCAGTCCACATTTAGATTGAAATTCTTCATTCAAAATGGGCTTAATAGTTTTGGCCCCTCGTGCCCTGCCAAGCATTTATCTTCATATTAGAAACCCTCGGTCACAGGTGCAACAGAAACAGCAAAACATCCCTGGAGGCTGTTTGGATGTTGAATTTAGCTATGTGACAAAGTGTGGCTATTAAATGGTTTTATTAGCAGTATGTCATGTTCAGCTTTCTGTTTTGTCTACCCAATTGTATTGAGGTTTACAGTCCTACATTGATGTAATAAAATAGTTTGCAGAGTCTGAAATGTAGCTTTTGTTTGGGTTTTTTTGGCAATTTCTGTGATCTCACCTTGGGGTAGATTTGCTGGGACATCCACTCCTGGGAAGACTGGCAACTATTTTGAATATTTTTCACCTGTGAGTTTAGATAAATTTAGACACACCCGAATGTCTGTGTAAGCATGGGTCATTAATTGCCAATATTCCCCTTTTCATACTCCCAAGACACATACAGCAACTGAATGCTGGTACTGTCAAACTCACGATCTGTTAATCATTTGATCAATTAATCAAGGTCCTACGAAAACATTATTTTTCCCAATATTCTATAAAATGTTTTTCTACTCTGAGAACTCAAATCACTTTTTACTACATTTAAGGTTCAACCATTCATACAGAACTCCTGTGCCATCAAACACGTGTCATATTCAGACTGTATCTTGTCCATGGAAACTTTAAAATGCAAAGCAAACCACTAATTTGATCAGAAGATGGCATTTCTACCAGCTGAGACCAAGAAAAAGCGACAGGTACAAGCATCAATGACAATTGATACTGTGATTATCTGATTAGGTCAGAAACATCATTTAGAGCAGGACCGGGCTGGCTTGCAAATGCACGGCAGCATCAAGACAGCTTAAATATTGGACCTAAATTAGATTCACCAAGTGGATGTGTGAAAAGGCATCAGGACAGCTGTTAGCTGATGTGCAATAACGCTGAGATCAGTTGGTGTCCCAGGATTGTGATTGAGTTTATTTAATAAATGCTTAATGCCACACTTGCAGACTCTGTACAATGCAATTCACCAATGTTTCATAAACATCTCACATGCAAAAGCTTATTGGAATGAGCTGCTAATATAAAACAGATTAAGCTGAAATATAACAACTGCTCATCCACACGACCTCACACTTCACAGTGCACTGCCTTGGAATATAGTGATGAGGTATGAAGTGGAACAGCTGCATAGCTGTTAAGAAATGCTGGTTTAACCTGTTAAAGTGTAATAAGCTCAGTGCAAAGATACCAGGACTGTTTTCCTGATCGTTTTAGAAAGATTTTAACCAGAGTAACCAAGTAATCTCATTTGAGCCTGGAGCAACTCTCACAGTCCCCCATCAGGCGAGATCGCCTTTAAAAAGCTACTGATTCAATCAGTAACACAGCTACTGAGTCAGTATAGGTTCCTCAGCTTGTAAAAGGCTGGTGTGTCACAGTTTCTCTGCAATATTCAGTCAATGCACTAAAACTGAAAGTTTTCAGTGTTCGTGCGCACTGCTGCTAAATGTTATGTTGGCACATTTTGACTGCTGAATTTGTTTTTCCACCTCCCAGGTGCCTTTTTGGTTTTGCTTTTACAGCTTTCGCGAAGCAGGTAATGCCTTGTAAAACAGTATGTATATGTTTATTTTCATCAAGATCTCTGACAAATGTAGGCAAAGTGTTGCCTTCTCTAGTGACAGGGATTCACAATCGCTGTGGAAGATTTACATGCTAATGAAGCAATTTGACACCTGCAGTTGCCTATGACTCGAAAAAAAGACATGTAAATTGGTTAGTAAGATACTAATGCCTTTTTATCCGGAAGCACAAATACCATATTTATTGTAAATCCTAATTAAATGTGCTTTGATGAAAAAAAAATACTACCATGTCAGATTTTTCTTTATATTACACAATACTGAATTATTTTTAAATTATTATATGTGTGTCTATTAAGAACTTTAATCAATTACCGAACCTTGTACCTTATAAAATAGCTGATATAACCTCAGATTAGATTAAGGTGCTAATTCATTAATACGCTATTGGTGCAATGTTACTCATTCTGTGTGTGTTTTGTGTTTTTTAATCCAGTCATATAGGAACAAATCATTGTTTAAATCATTATGCAAAGACCACTTAACTCACAGGTGACATGAGTTTATTTTAAGGAAAGCTGTTTCCCAGCAGCAATTCTATGCTTGTCACACCTTAGGTTCTGTTTGCCTTGTAATCCACTCTGTCTACAAGATATATTTAAATACTATGGATATGTTGACACAGAGTCTAGGTCCATTTTAACATTGCAAACACAATCACGGCCCGAGCCATCCAACAGAGTAGATAAACACTGTGATCCAGTAAAAAATTGACTCAATTTAACCTCTTGCCAACAAACACACTTGCATATAAATACAAGACCCACCCACTCCCAGCTATCAACCCAGTAGGGAGGGAACAAAGCGCTGCTCTTATCTCACCATATACATTCAGCTCTCACATCGACTGGTCTGACTGCTTGCATGACATCTGAGATTTGAGGACAGGAAGAGAAAAATACACTCAGAGTTGACTTAAATATGACACAGTGAAGACGACTGTTTGTAGTTGTGCCAGTGACTCTACAGGTGAGTGCATTATTAAATTTCACTGACTGGAACTTTTCTATGAATTTGGATTTAGACGTAGAGGAAATTCTGGCTTTGAAAGCTGAGTTTGTTTTTCACTGGGAAGCACAGTTCAAAGTTGTTCTTTATAGTGAGAGTAGTTAGTCTGCAGGGAACAGATGTCTGTGTTATTTCAGGAGTTTTTGTAATTATTTATTCCCCATTTGCAAAGGTTTTGAACACCACAGAGAAAGGTGTTTTATTTAGTTCCACCCATTTCAGATTAGTGATTTTTCAGCGGTATTAATGATAAATTACACCTACTACGCTAAGCTGGCATGGAGCGGTTGTGTGACAATTTAGCTTACTCAGTGTTTTTCTCTCTAGATCAGAGGTCCCCAACCTTTTTTGCGCCACGGACCGGTTTATGCCCGACA